TTCTTCAGGCATGATAACATAGAGATCGGACGGTAAGAATTGTGATCAGACGCTGGTTTCCCAGGCTTTTGAATAGCTATTACTTAAATCTGTCTCCATGCTGGTGGAACTATATTGAATTCCATAAATGAATTATATAGGTTAAGTAATCGTCTTTTAGCGATATCGGGGAGGTTTTTAAGAAGGTCGAATTTGATCATATCGCTTCCCGGAGCACTTGATGAAAGAAGTGCCATTGAAAATTCCAGTATTGTGAATGGTTCATCCAGAGAACCGTTACTTCGGGCTGTATCCCGTAAAGTTGGTTGTGCTGGAACAGAATCTGGACAAACCTTTTTAGCGAAGTCGAATATCCATTGGGAGGAGTATTCTTCACTCTCATTGGAAGATGAGCGGTTTCGCATATAGCGAGCCTTTTTCCAAAGCGTTGTCATCGAGGTTTCTCTAGAAAGTCTCTCGATAAAAGTACGCCAGTAGTTTCGTTTCTTTGCTTTTAGTAAGTTTTTAAGCTTTTTTTCAAGCTTTAGATACTTTTCAAAAAGCTCAGATCTTTCATGTCTACGATAATCTTTAAAGGCATCGGATTTCTCAAGATACAACTTTGTGCATTCGTCATCCCATCCAGGGGTGGCGGGTCTTCTTTGAGGGATGCACTTGGAACACGTCGTTTCTGAGCTTCTAATGCGCTTAAGTAGATTAGTTCGGCAAAGAAACGATACTCTTCCAGAGGTGGTAGAGGATCGGTAGAATCAATATCAAGAGTTACCGCCGATACAAATTTTTGCCAATCAATGTTCCTCGTGAGGTCAAAAGGAACTTGAATTGACTACTGATCTGTTTTTAGACAACCAGTTTTGATAGAAATAATAATTGGCAAGTGATCACTACCATGGGGATCATTGATAACCTTCCACAGACAATCTAATGATCTCAGGGTCTTGAAATGATTCTTATTGATATTTTTCCTGGATCCCAGATCATGAATTTTTTTGTTAGTCTGAATGTACTTCATTTACAGAGTTCAATTTTATTTATCCTAGAATTTCATCATACTTCTATTTTGAATTCCCCTAAACTAATCTTGATAATATCCAAACTTTTCCAGCAACATTCTAAGAGTGCTTAGCATTATCTGTTTTAATCTCTTGTAAATCGCTCTCTGATTCCACAATTCCCTCAAACTGGTAACAACTTCCGAGAATTGGCATAATTTTGTCTCATTTTTCTGTATGAAATTCCTTTAGAATATTCTTAATAATTTCCTGGGTACGCTCTTCAGAATGACCGTCACATTCTTCTCAGACTTAACTCCTTTGAACTGCTTTTTTGATAAGATCAGAATTGTTTTGAAATCCTCTTCAGTATTTCCAAAGTACTCAAGTGCTTTTCAAAAAAGGCCTTGAAAGTCTCTCATAAATTGCCAGATTTCTTAAAACTTGATAAAAATTAATCTCCATAGAAACATTAGACAGAATTCTATTGAAATTATTCTCACGATTCGTATTAGCGTTCTCGTTAAATTTCATCTTAAGAATTTTCTATGATTTCTTTTCCGAATTCTAACTATTTCCTTTCTTCACAAAATCTCCATGCAATTGTCATCAGAGTTTGCAAAAGACAATTCATACCGTCTTCACTTCAATCAAAAGTTGCACAGACTGCATACTTACACCTCACTGTAAACTATTTTCAGAATTACCTTAAAATTCTGAAATCTAGGGCAATTCAGAATTCTAAAGTATTTCAGACTGCTAAGGTAACTCAATATTTACAGGTACTATAAAACTCTATTTAAAAATCTAATGAATTATTCTCAAAAATATCACGAACATACTTCAAAGTCCTGATGGTTGTCTAGATTCAAAAGCCTTGGTAATTTTTTAAAGCTCAATTTATTGCTTTCAATCCTGAACAATTTTCGATTTCTCTAAATTTCAAAATTAGGGAAATTCTTTCATATTGAAATATTGATTTTTATAAATCCAGGATTCCTAAAAACAAAATTATAGCCAAAATCTAAACAAAAACTTGAAATTAAAAAAATCCTGGCTCGATATTTTTAAAAATTTGAAGATTGACAGCCAACAATGTTAAGAAAATGTCTCAATTGTCATGATTCTGCAACCCATTGCAAACATGTTGTAACAATTCCATGTATGATGTTGCAATAATGTCCAACGCTGATGGCCTTTAGTAATTAAAGTAGTACGTTTGGCTTTTTATTTTTTGATAAGAGGGTCCATTAATTGCAGTGATATTTATAAAGCAACACACTTTAAAAATCTGGGAAAATCTGGACCATATTTCAAAAATCTGGAAATAAACGTGATCTGTCTGTGTATCTGGCAAGACGACTGAAAATCTGTAAAATCCCGATAAATCTGAAATACTGGCAACGCTGGCGATGCATGCTGTTCCAATCATATGTCGTGTCCCACGCTTATCCGTCCGTTGCTCGAAAGCAAATGACTAAGAAACCGATTTGGCAAGCATTTTTATGATCGCTGCTTTTCTCCTCCCTTCCTTTCATTGGTGAAATGGTGAGCGATCAACCGAGCGTTGAGCTCGCTCATGTGAGCATGCGCAATGTATCCGTTTGTCCGATTTGCGCTCTATCGTTGCGTCCGTGTTTGAGATTTTTCGTTACATGTCTGAATTTTGATTTTTTTTAATGTGACCCCCAGTATAGAAATTAAAGACGTAGCCCTACGTAAAAAAAACGATTTTTTGGACCACACTAACACGGAAATGGTCATCCTAATGACAACATAAAAAAAATACGGGAACAAAACTACCAATTTTTACGAAATTCTGAGAACCACTATATCGTTCTGCTATGAAATGACTGCAAAGTTCTGTGTAAAGTTGGTATTCATTGAAAAAGAAAAAAAAGCTTTCGACCGACTCAAGCACCCGGATAAAATCGTCACTCTCATCGAAGTAGAGTCCGTGCACGAGCAGTCAACTCTGAGCTAAGAGTCGACATCGGCTTCCTGTTTTGAACTGTCCATCAGGTTGTTCTGGGTTGTCCCAGCTGCCACACAGGAAGACCGAAATCGCGAAGCGTTAAAGACACACGGAAGTACTAAGAGAATATTTATGAGAAAGTATCAAACTTTCTCATAAAAATTAAATTGACTGCAAAGTCGCTAAATCGTAAATCAAAGTTCTAAGAGAAGTTGAACAGCTCGCGCAAAGGGAGTATGAAAGTGGTTGTTGCAATTTTAGATGGTCAGAAAATTTTAAGTTATCGAATCAATCTACGATAAATTTTTTTTCATCTCTTGCAATCCATCTACTCGCATAGCCCTCCAACTGTTTGTAGAAAATCTTCAAAATCTCCATCAATCTTCTTTCTATATACTAAGCGTGCGCGCATCTCACAACAACTAAGGGAAATTTTTCATGCATCTAAGATAGAGTTACCCCCCTCGAGTGGTACGGGAACAGATCTAAGAGCACGCGCAGAAGTTGTTGGTTGGTTAAAAAACAATAAAAGCGAAGAATTAATTAACCAACCATCAAGCGAGTTATTAAAATACGGTGGTGAATCACTGGTTAGGCGGCGCCCATTAATTACGTAACGCTAAAAATCGAACTGTTTGACCCCTTCCTATCCTTTGTAACAAAACGTAATGCGGAGAGTAATCCCTTCTATTTATTACGTAACGTTCTTAAAGCCCTCTTCCCTTTCATTAAATGAAGTTAAGATTTTTCAATAAATTTTTGATTCTTTATATCTAGGCAATTGAACATTTTCAAAATAAGAACAAAATATAAGCGTACGATCAAGCACCTGTTTTCAAAAGTTTAACGATAGAAAAGTAAACTCAGTATACAAAATTAAAACATGTCCAAGCAAGCAATATTTTTAACTGTGTTTTTGAATTAAACCTAAAGAACAAAAAAAAAATCAGTGGTTTTTGTTACGTCATTTGTAAAGTTTACGATTTTCAGAGTTCGTTGGAAATGCTAATACTAATATCAACATGAAGCTTTGGTGTATCAATTTATTAACTAGAGAAAGTTCTGATTCTGATAGGTTGATAGTTCCGCTAGAGTACGGCAGTGTAAAAATTGAATATAAGTTCTCTTCTTCTTTTGCTTTATTATAGAGACTTTCAGCCCTTAGCTGGTTCGTCTCCTGAGGGGGTCCCGAAAAAATAAAATTACATAGTGTTTTTTTTACAGCGTTTAAGGGTAACAGAGTTCTGTATAGACTGTTTTAAAGCGAACCCCGCACGTATCAATATATTGACGCGAAGATATTATTGATGATGTGAATACAGAATTATTGACAATACCGATGTATTGACGTCAATATATAATGTATTGATAATACGATTATGGCGCGTTCATCTAGATAAAATGGATAAATAGCAGAATTTTAGCTATGGGCCTAATCTTAGATCCATATGCCAACATTAGAGCCATTTCCCCTATCTCAGTTGTGTGAAGATGTACTACTTTTATGTTTACTGCAACTTTTCATAAAATTTTACATTCTTCAACTTTGTTGAAACATCTTTGCCATCTTTGCAGCTAAAACATGAACTATTTTTATCCACCATAATTTTAGTCTTCATTAACCCAAGAAACTTCACTGAAGACGTCAACTCTATTGGATGCAGTCCCAGAGCGTTATTATTTTTCCCCTGCTGGGTTTAATTCATGGTCCACTGTGCAATGGTTGCTACTCCGTGATTGATCAGAGTTGGTAAAATTGCATAATGAATTAACTGATCGGGGCTGTGAGTGACCGTCCATTCTCATTGTACAAGCTTCAGTGACTCCATAAATTAGTGGACAAGTGGATTGATAATGTTGACAAATCTTTTTGCGAAATAGCTATGCACCAACAATTTTTATGCATGGAAGAATATTTCACCTACACAGTTTTGTATCAATCAACGCCTAACAGCCGTGACTGTAACATGCGGCTACAGAAATTAACAACCTTTCCCTAAACACATACGGAATATTAACCATGCAATACTTACAGAGAACTGCTACTGCCTGCGACTCGAATAGCAGCGTTTCCGATTTGTTCCGATGCTCCAACAGTACACTGTGCGGTGAAGGTGGTTTCGATTTTTCAAGCACACGGAATCCCTTCGACATTGCCATGGTGAGGCCGTACTGTGAATTGTTTGTATTATGCGTTTCGGTTCAATCGATGTCGTAAACCTGCAAAAGGAAGTAGGTAAATTCCGATGCCATATGGAAAAAAAAATATAATGAAAACAAAATTGAAGAGATGGTATAGTACCATTCTATCGCCACGTCTACACGAAAGTGACTAATTGTGGCCCTTCAAACTATCATCTGCGGTCTACGGCCGCTGCTGATGAAGAGGAATCATTTCGGATATTTTTTCTACCTTTTCTGAACTTTCTCACGATCCCAACATTTTCCCACGACAAATGGTAATTACAGCTTAGCGCCTGTGTTGCCAGTGTATTCACTTCTATTTTGAAACAAATTGCAGGTAACTGCATGGTTGGTTTGTGATTACAGTTGGCTATAAAACTCAATGGAAACGATACAGTTACTTGGCTTTAACGAGGGTTTCAGTAAAAAATGTTTGAAATAAAAACTTTCGTTCTTCGCAATAAAATATTCAAAACTGACAACCATATCTTGCGTTGTTGTTTCTTGTTACCGGCGCAGATCAACGTTCATCTATACACAGAATGTTTTGCTTTGTTCCGCTTTCCTCTCCATCTTCACGGTCACGGTATATTGAATCAATGCTGTTCGACCTTTGCACATACAAACACTTATATGCAGGTTTCTAACGAATCCAAGATGAATCGTCTGTATCGTTTATTTTCCGTATTCGTATTGCGCTTCTTATATCCTAAAAATGGGTGTATAGCTTTTCGACCTAAATAGGGTTTACAAAATGTTTGTTTTCTCCAGCATCGAATGATTACTAACTATTAAACTTTATCAAACTGCTTATCGCTCTTCATGAACATTTGAAAAAAATATACAAGAAACAGTCCTCTTCATAGCTAACCTAATGGTAACGCTTTATTCCAGGAATCCACCACATTGGGAACCCTCCCGCGATTCGATCGTTGGCACATACCTCTCGTTTTCGTATTCCGTCTTCCTTGATGCCGTATTCGTTCGGAGAATCAGCTAAACGCCCCCGCGTCTGGCCTACACCGTCTTTGATAGGAGGAAAATTTCCACCGAAAGGCTTCGAACTAATTTAACCCAATTATTATCTGACTGTTCTTGTTCGATTCACTTTCGTTGCTGTGCAATCAACGAACTGCAACGAGCAAAAAACAAGAGTGAAATCCCCAGCTATGTAGAAAATCTGCAGTGACGTAAGAGTGCTTTTTGCGTTCGTCCTTCCTCTTGCTTCCTTCAATGCTACAATTTTCCTACCACTGTAAACGGGCTACCTTTCGACACAGAGGCATCTTTAACTTCCTTATCTTCACTAGTTTATCACAATAAAATCACCGCTTTGCATCGGAAATTGGAGAGCATGTCAAAACTCTAGGAAATCACTGCATCGCGTTCCGAAATGGTAAATATTTTCACTTTGTGAACTCGACCCGACCGATCCGACGCATTCCGTGCGCTGCTTGCAAGTTGTTTGACGTTTCACGAATGAAAAATCGATTGTGTTCTGCAATCTATTTCGTGGCGGATCGCCAAAGCATGCTAAAGGAGAGAATCCGGACAGAGAACAAAATATGTTTTATGTTTATTTTTGTTTTCCGAACTGACAGCTATGCTTTTGTTTTGGTTTTGCTGTCCTTGCGGCTGCGTACTTTTCAAGAGGTAAATGCTTCATACTGAAATTCACAGAATGTAAATTTGAAAAGTTCGTTGGAACCTAAGAGAAGAGGTGACAATACGGGGGCGAAAAAAAACCACTTTTCTGTCAAACGCGAACCACTTCCTGATTGGTCGATTTCATGTGCGTAAGATAGAGATAGAGATAGATAAAGATAGAGATAGAGATAGAAATAAAAGAGGAAGAAGCCAATTGTCACCTCTTCCTCTTAGGTTGGAACACAAGGCTTTATTGTACTGTCGCGCAACCACCAATCTCAGGAGTCCTGGTTGATTGAGTCGCATATCCGGAGAACTTCGAGATTAGGGCGTAATTGCGTTTGTAAACAAACACTTAAATCACCGATTTCTCGCGAATTAAAGGACAATCTCACGAACAAACTATACGAAAAGATAGAGGAACCATTCCTCTATCTGTTTGTGTTGTTAGTTTGTGAGATTGAGGTTTAATTCGCGAGAAATCGGCGATTGAAGTGTTTGTTTACAAACGCAATTACGCCCTAATCTCAAAGTTCTCCGGAATATAACATTTTTGTCAACTTTGTTTGGTTTTGGTGAACAACAAATTGATTCTATTTTAATTGAGATGTGTAGAGTTCAGTAATATTATCTGTGATTATACGTTATGCAGAGGTACGCCTCTGTATGGTTGGACTAGAATACATCCCTGTATTCTTCTAGTAGTGTTGGCGAACAATAGGAACGAGAGGATGATCAAAAGCGGTATCGAGTTAGTTGCGATACGAATATCACTGGAGGTGGACGACAGTAGCTGGTTGAAGCAGAACGAACCAACACGGAGAACAAATTATAGCAGACGCAATTATTTTTCCGGTCAAAATAACTATATTGTTCAATTGTTTTAGAGATAACCCGAAACTATAGTTGATTTGACTATATATAGAGGGCAACAACTATAGTCCATAGTTGGCTCCTCGGTTGGCTCAACTATATTTTTCAGTAGATGAACAAACGCCAAACTTCAAAATACAACTATGCGTTAGTTGATTCAAGAAAACTATTGTTAGAAAAGCAAAATTTTACAATGTTCATTAAACGAACTGCTCTTCATTATCGACATATTAAATAAAGTTTGTTTTGCTTCTTTATCGATCTCAAAAACACAACTGCAAAATCATAAAAAAGTGAACATAAACATTCAACTTAGATTTGAACCGTGTTCATCTGCGTGAGAGCCAGCTATCTTATGGCCTGCTCTACGCATCACAAGTTAAAAGTATGTGGATTTATGATGATCACTTGAAACCAAATTATATAAATAAATTAATTTGACGGTTGTTATAATTGATCAAATTATAGTTGAATTGAGTATAAGATGAACAGTTGAATCTATTAGGTAGATATGATTGATTTGACGGTCAAATTAATGTTGGAATAACTATAGGTTTCTTTCAAACAACAATACTTTTCCATGTGAAAGTAACTATTAGGATTGTTATCTTAACTTAACGAATTTGGTCTCCGTGAAGAGGCATCGGGTGATTCTACAATTTGGCGCAGCCGGCACGATTTTTTTTATAGAGATCGGTGACTGGGAGGATAATTTTACTTGGATACGGTACGTAGAGGTAATTTCATGAATTGTGTTTAAAGATGCACCTGTGGAAACAAATTATGATGAAGCAAGTCCAGCTAAGAAACTGCAGTGCTACGCGAGTCCGGTTTTCAACCGAAGCGCTAGAGGAAAAAGCGAGTCCAGTGGAACACTGAAGCGCACTATCACATTGCTAGGCCAGTAGAGCACAAGCGAGTCCGGTTATAAACCGAAGCGCTAGAGAAAAAAAAGCGAGTCCAGTGAAATACTGAAGCGCATTAGGTACAACATTGCTAGGCCAGCTGATGAGCTGCAGAGCACAAGCGAGTCCGGTTGTAAACCGAAGCGCTACAGGAAAAAGCGAGTCCAGTAAAACACTGAAGCGCACTACTACTACTACATTGCTATGCCAGCCTACAGGCTGAAGAGCAATAGCGAGACAGGTGATCTACCTTAGCGCTTTTTGATAAGTGAGTGAGCGAGACCAGTTGTTTCAGACTGTAGCACATGACTAATCTGGAATTGACCAGCAAATGTGGCTGAATAGTATAGTGATGTACGATTTTCTCAATTAAATGATTATTTATTCATTATCTTCTTTATGGGCAGTTTTAGATGCACAAAAATTACACGAGTACATAACTATGGTGATAAGGTAAACACTTGTTTATTTGTTTCTTTCTGTGAAAGCATGATAAGTCACAAATCGTGGACTTTCTGATATTCTCCATACTGCAAAAATGATTTTCCTACCACTGAAGGGGCGACATCTCTCGGATCTTCAGTATAGCTACTACTCAAATCATATAATTAATTCTGGACCAGAGAAATATGAAGCATAGAACAGGAAACCAGGGGACTAGCATCCCTATATCAATCCTATACGTTTGACCGTGACATCGCGGGCCTTATTTAAATTCTGCCCGCATGACGTATGGATGGTGGAAAAGGATGGAAAATCATATTTGAAGCAAAAGGACAGGGCAGATGATAGCATAAAAAACATGGATGCCAGTCAGTCTTCTCAAGAAAACTATTCAACACGTGTGTTTGTAAATTTTTATTTGAGATTTGAGTACTGATCTAAAACACCGAGTACAACTGCAGACCTACGGATAATATTTCCAAGCACGCACACAGATGCCGTTGTTGTTGGATGGACTGAGAATCGAACACTAATCTAAATGATGAACCATAACACAATGAGAAACTTTCTCAGACAGTATGAAAACGGCGTCCGTGGTGTAGTGATAAACGTGACTGCTTCTTATCCCAGTGTGAAAGCTTTCAATTTCTTTCGATATCTTTGGGTTTTTGTGTGATGTGTCTGATAACGTCTTCCTTTGAAAGAGAAGTAAAGTCGTTGGTCCTGGTCCATATAGTGACGGGTGCGATATCTACCCAGGTGTGAATGCAGCCCCATGGAATTCGATGGTCGTCAAGGGTCGTCAATCGATGCCGGTCGGCGGCACTTGATTGCGGAGCTGAGGCCAACGTCAATAAAAAAAATTGAACCGAAATCCAAAATTTCATCACTTTTGGTACACTGGAACGATAGCATTAGCAAAAATCACCATCTTAGTGCCCCTTGGTGGAACTTTGTATAGGAGCGAGCTGTCAACGAATAGATCTAGTGTTAACGATTAAAAAATTAAATATTGATTTAAAAATCGAGATGAATGTCTACGGGATCGATAAAAATATCGTTGTGCTCAGAAAACAAAGCTCTATCAGATGATGTGTAAAAATCGATATATTTTTCGAAGTTAAACAACCCAATTAGAAGAGACCTGACTAATCTTTTTGGTATGACATAGGAATAAGGCTCTATGGTCTAACTCTTAGCAATAAGCTAAATTCAGGATGTGATCTTGCACATTTTATAAATGTCTGGATGGCATTAGTGTTGCTGATCTTTGGTTGGCATAAATAGCTAAGGAAGGGCTCCATAGAACACGTACTTGATTGCAGGAGTAAACTTGTGTGAGAGCGTGAAAGCCAGGGAGAGTAAGAAGAAGTATCCCGAGCAGCACACTTGTCGCTGAACAGTTGCGGTTACTTATATGAAACTTATTACCACAAACGAAGTGACAGACGGAGCGGCTCGAAAACTTTGGTGACTAACCTGCTATTTCAATTTTTCAGTGTACCACATGGCAGCACCACTACTACTGGATTGTACCACATGGCAACACTACTACTGGATTGTACTAGCAATTTCACCAAATGTATTAGAATGTTTTGGTTCTATCTCTTTCACTCTACTCAAAACTGAAATGCATAAAAAAATGACAAAATGATACACTCTTTGCACACTGTCAAAGAATCATTATACACAAAATCAACTTTGTTCAAATCAAAACAAAAAAACTAACCCATCTGGTGGATGATGGCACAAGCTTCCAAGAAAATTCTATTACAGTGAACCACATTATTTTAATGGATTTCTTCGCCAGTTAGTCGTCTGTCACTTCGTTTGTGCTGATAGTATGCTTATGCATGTTGTGTTAGTTTTTCAACCCCTGATACACAAACAATAGTAATAACAATGAATAAAGCCAAAATATAAATAAATGAACTTTTGAACCAAGTTTTGAACCTAAAACTCATTGGTGATTTTTGCGACGTTGAATTTTGCAAGGCTAAACTCA